TGAAACCAATGCAGCACAAATAACTCAAAATATCAATGGAGTGTTTAAGAAGGATGTGACTAATGAACACACAGTACGTGGATGGTTTGAAAAGTCCCATTCCGGTGATTTTAATCTTGAAAATGAGTCACATGGGCAACCTAAGACCAAGTTGGATAATGATGAGCTGAAAGCTATAGTGGAAGTGAAACCATCTCAACCTAAGCGAGGTTTGATGTTACTTTTCCAACAATATTGGACCATTTGAGACCAATGGGCAAGGTAAAGAAGCTGGATAGATGGGTACCACATGAATTAAACAAGTGTCAGAAGAGAAATCGTCTCAAAGTTTGCCTTTCTTCACTGTCACAACATAAAGGTGGACCATTTCTACACTGTATTGTTACATGTGATGAAAAATGGATTCTTTTTGACATTCACAAGCGTTCAGCACAATGGTCAGATAAAGCTGAAGTACTGGAACACTGTCAAAAACTGAATATTCATCAAAAAAAGCTAACGTCATCTGTTTGGTGGGCCAGGGCTGGTATTATCCACTACAGCTTCATGAAACCTGGTCAATTGATTACAATAGATGTCTACTGCAACCAATTGGATGAAATGATGAGGATGCTTGTGATTAAACAGCTGAGATTGGTCAATAGAGACAGGCCAATCCTCTTGCAAGACAACACTCAACCACATGTCGCACAAACAACGCTGCTCAAATTACAGAGACTGGACTTGGAAACTCTCTGTCATCCACCGTATTCGCCAGACCTTGCACCAACCGACTAGCACTTCTTCCAGGCTTTGGACCACTCCTTGCAAGGAAAAATATTCAACTCTCAACAAACTGTGGAAAAGGCCTTTTGCAATTTCATCGCCACTCGCTCTCCAGGCTTCTTCACTACTGGCATAAACAAGCTACCATTAAGATGGCAAAACTGTGTTGATAGTTTGGGGGCATACTTTGATTAATTGTACTGCTTCTTGTTTAAGACATAACAAACTACGCTTTTGATTCGAAATTGGACATTTTGTATGTAATGACCTGATATATCAATTCGCCCATGGTGAGCTGCCTTGAGGGAAGGACGGTAACGTGGAAATGGGAAGGGGATCATGTTGCGACTTCAGAGTTGGGGGCGATAAATCGACAGGGGCTCTGATGGCCACTGTTCCCATCAAGAACCTCTATCAGAAAACAGAAAGAAGTTCACAGTATCATAAAGGACCCTAAGCAGATGTTCATCTGCTCTCAAAAGTAGTTGTAGCTCAACCCTGAGACTATTCTCAAAGTCTCAGAAACCAGGATCATAACCATGTCTCTACCACTAGCTTGTTATGTGCCCTTGACCTAATCAGTCGTCTCTCTGGTCTGAGTTTCTTTGTATTAAAATGAAAGGGATAAAATAGCGTCTCTAGTTTTCTTCTAGCTCCGTTTTCCCATTCTCATTCATCGCAGGACTATAAAAAACCTTTTATCACTCTCCCCGATTCCCCTAATATAGCCACTACGTCTCCTCACTCTCAGGAAATCACCTCAATTTTACATCTTCCCCGTGTTGGCAGCATGGGCCAGGGCTCGGCTCTGCTGAGGGCTGAGGCAACACATAAACCTCCAGATCAGAAAGGTTTACTTCCCACTCTCAAAGCAACTCTTCGGAGCAGTTGTGCTTCACATGGAGACTGGGAGATCCAGGATGGTCCATCCTGTGGCTCCACAATTGTCAGGGCGTGACCGCCATGATTGCTCGAGCAGGGGAAGAGAGCGTGTGGGGGAACCAAATCGGCCCTTCTGCACTGCAGCCCAGAGGCTTCTATGTCATACTTAAAGGCTTTGCACCAGTACTAGTCATGTGGCCCCAACCTAACTCCAAGGGAGACTGGAAATTGTAAAACAACAAGTGAAATTACTTGCCAACATCTCTGTTTCTGCTACTATC